TCTTAAAGCAAGATGTTTATATCCTTTCCCGAATGGGGCCTTGTGTTCCCTTTGTTCTACTACTCTTTTTCACCAGGAAGGTTTAAAGAAAAATCTTTCAAGCAGAAAAAGCTCAAGGACCCAACCTCCTGATGAGATGTCTTTCTATGCAGGGAGTCTTTCTTATGTGAGGAAGTGTCATGAGGTCAACGAGACCTGTGTGCACAAACACCAATCAGCCGTGTCATTACTCCTTGTATATGGATTTTGAAAGATTTACATCTTAAAAAAAAAAACAAACAAAAACCAAAAACCAACCACAAAACCAAATCAGAAAAGAGCAACTGAACTGATTCCTTACAAACATGAGCGACTAATGTCCTTGATTAATTCAGGAAAAGTGAAGGAACCCTATGTCAAGATGAGAGTTTAAGGAGATTTGTGTTCATTCTAAGGAAAAATGCAAGAAAAAACCCAACCATCTCCTATCAAAATTAAAATACTGAATGCATTCTTGATGTATTTTAATTAACTGTGTGATGGATGCAAACCAGATGGGTCAAATAAGTCTGTGATATGAATTTCCTAAATTCTGTGGGATTATATCAAGGATAAAAATATAATCCATGTTGTTCTTCTGGCAATTTAGAATGTGGATTATAGGCACAAGAGGATTTGACACCAAATCCAAATTAATTGTTTTTCTAGATAACATTGCCTTGTTAATGAATTATACAGCATTTCTTGAAAGTTATTATCTAGGCAGTGCATGTAAAACATCACTTTATAATGGATTCATATTTTAAGAAGCTTTGCCTGAATTGAATTGGAATATTAGAGGATTTCCAAACTGAATCCCACCATTGCTTGGACTGACCCAGGGTGGTGTTAAGGCTACCAGACAAAACTCTTGCTAGCCTTAACACTTCACAGTATGGGATCCCCTTTTGACAGAAGGGTATGATAAAAATACAGCTTCCAAGCTTCAGTACAGTAGCCATCTGTGAATGGCATTAATCCACCAGATGCCCCTAATTTCAGTGCCTCTTTACCAAAATTGTATGAAAAAACAAGTTGTGATTCACTGGTGTATTCCACTAGCTTCATGATGGTTTATCTCCAGTAAGTCAGTGGCAATAAAGAAGCTGAGTTAATATTTACCTATTGTACTTACTAAAATCACATACCCTTTAATGGCAAATGATCCATGAAATGGGCTGCAAGGGGGCCAAGAAGAATTGTTCTTATTGCTAGTACAGCTGCAGCAGTGTTTAGGTCTCTTATGCCACAGGGCCCAATAAAAGAAAGAGTTATTAATCCTGGTATGTCACTGCAGGAGCAATAGTGTAAGTAGCATGCCTGTAATAACAACGTTTCAGTGGTAAGTGATCAAGATATCCACAAACTCCCTGTCAGTCTGAATTTCCTTCTGAAAAGCTACCATGTATTTCTTCTGAAAACCCCAGCATTGCCACACTTCAATATAAAAACTTTTATTTGAATGCAAATACACTTTCCCTGTCAGCAGCCCTGAAATCATTGCAGGAGATTGAAGCAACCAGTGATTTCTAAGGAATGTATCCAGCACTCTGTGTGGAGAAGTCAGAAGCAGCAGCTCTGGTTAGTCACTGACATGAATTCTGCTCTCCAAGAAATTGCAAAGGAATGGCAAAAATGGCAGAGCAGACAAGCAGAGGTAAGAAAATGGCTAGGTATAGAACATGAGGACTGGGTTTCCTGTTCCTCTGAGTAGCAGGAGATGTGCTCTTTCTTTTCTCAGGGGGGATCCCAGATAACTGGTATTAATTTCTCTGCTAAGTGAAGCGTAAGTGGATGGTGGCATAGCGAATTGTTTTATTTTGTCTGTTCCTTGGACACAGTTATAACACATGCTGTTCACATTCTTTCCAAGCCCCTAAGTGCTAAGCAGGGCTTGCAGGGGAAAATCATGCCTCAGCTCATCACTCCTGCCCACACTGTCATGCCCTTGAACCTCCCAACACATAAGAAGACAAAGTGCTGGGAGTTGCAGTGGTCAGCCTCATCATGTCTTTTTCATCTAAGGACTGCTCCAACCTGAAGGCTGTCTTTGGCAAGTAGTTCATATGTGGTTTCTGCTGCTTTTGTTCTGCCCATTGGGAATAAAGGGATTTTTTTTCTAGGGTCAGGAATCATACTCCTAGAGTCCTTTTCTTCTTTCTGTTTTTATACCAATATGAATGAAATAAGCGCCTTGATTGCCCAGGCGGGAATGGGAAAGGAAGAGGATCATGACTAGAAAATGGAATCTATCTCAGCGGAGTTCTGCATTTGGGTTTTGACATTAGCATTGATTTAGGAAAAATAATAGGTTTTAGCTTTCCATCTTTATCCTCAACTAAGATCTAAAATACTGAAGGCATTCTTCATGTATTTTAATCAACAATTAATGACAGAGATCCATTCCCTGCTTTTCTGCTGCCTCTTACAGATCCAGATCACCATGTTTGGTTAATTTGGGAAATACCAATTTGTGAAAATCAATAGGTTTTGGCTTTCCATCTTTATCCTCAACTAAGCTCTTTTTGTCAGTGTCTGTGGTCTACTAACCTATGTGCTTTTTCTCCTGGGCTTCACAGCCCTTTCTCACATCTAACATTAACACTGTTCTGTGGCTTGAACAAGAATCATAGAATAGTTAGGGTTGGAAAGGACCTTAAGATCATCTAGTTCCAACCCCCCTGCCATGAGCAGGGACACCCCACACTAAACTATGTCGCCCAAGGCTCTGTCCAATCTGGCCTTGAACACCGCCAGGGTTGGAGCATTCACAACTTCCTTGGGCAACCTATTCCAGTGCCTCACCACCCTCACTGTAAAGAACTTCTTCCTTTTATCTAACCTAAAGTTCCCCTGTTTAAGTTTAAAGCCGTTACCCCTTGTCCTACCACTAGAGTCCCTAATGAAGAGTCCCTCCCCAGCATCCTTGTAGGCCCCCTTCAGATACTGGAAGGCTGCTGTAAGGTCTCCATGCAGCCTTCTCTTCTCCAGGCTGAACAGCCCTAACTTTCTCAGCCTATCTTTATACGGGAGGTGCTCCAGTCCTCTTATCATCCTCGTGGCCCTCCTCTGGACCTCAACTTGAAAGTTACCATGGGTATCTGCTGAATTGGAGTGTTACTAGTGCAATGTATACAGTTTCAGATCATCCTTATACCTACAATGCCATATTCTTGTGGTTCAGTTTATCTACCAGATGTTCTTCTGGTTTACTTTGTGACTATTCGGA